GTAAAGCTCAATACAACAGGTTGATATATACTCCCTCCATCTTTTAATATTTGAAGTTGGTTAGTTTTTTCTGAAGTACTAATAAACGTAGAAAAGAAAGAACATGGGGGCAGAATTAGGATCAATTTTAGCCATTTTGTTCAGTTGTGTGGACTCTCCGGATCAAATAATACTAGTACGTCGAATCGCAACAGTAAAGAAAAAAACTGTCTATATATGGTGCACCAGCTGGGTATAGCTGCCGCGGCAGCAAGCCAGCAACAGCAACAAATTTAGGAGTACTTACTTATGTTGCCGTCGTAACTAGCACTAATGACGATACAACAATTTACGGCAATTCACTATGGCATTGAGATTTAGGCCGAGTTTAGTTTCAAACTTTTCCTTCAGATTTTCAACTTTTCCATCACATTAAAATTTTTGTATACACAAACTTTAAATTTTTCTATCACATCATTCCAATTTAACGTGAATTAAACACACTCTTATTTTACTTATGACATGTTATCCTCTACAATAAATACAGAGAATTTATGTAGGCTCGATCCGTGTGACTCTGGATTGTGGGTCCACGTGTGCGTTGCAGTTAGAGCAAATTCAGGAGAATAGCCCACTACTAGCTCTAATTCACATATAGCCAATACAATAGCCAATTTATACAGTAGTTACTTACTATACTATTAATATATTGTCCTACCTATCATACACACACTACGTCTTGAAATCCGTGCTGCAGCTGGCTACAGATCTGTAGCCCGCTGCTCTTCTCTCTCATATTTTATCTCATTAAAATATTGTCGGTGATATAGGCCCGGGGGTATCATGTTTAGAGGGAGGAGGCTGCCCCCCAATGCCACGTGGCCCTCCCCCAATGCCACGTGGCCCTCCCCGAGGGGAGTCCGGCCCAAGGTAGGGCGGCGGCCACTCCCTCCCAGAGATTGGACGGAGAAGGCTGCCCCCCAATGCCACGTGGCCCTCCCCCAAGGGGAGTCAGGCCCGAGGTGGGGTGGCGGCCACTCCTTCCCAAAGACTAGTCGGAGGAGGCTGCCCCCCAATGCCACGTGGCCCTCCCCGAGGGGAGTCCGGCCCAAGGTAGGGCGGCGGCCACTCCCTCCCAGAGATTGGACGGAGAAGGCTGCCCCCCAATGCCACGTGGCCCTCCCCCAAGGGGAGTCAGGCCCGAGGTGGGGTGGCGGCCACTCCTTCCCAAAGACTAGTCGGAGGAGGCTGCCCCCCAATGCCACGTGGCCCTCCCCGAGGGGAGTCCGGCCCGAGGTAGGGCGGCGGCCACTCCCTCCCAGAGATTGGACGGAGAAGGCTGCCCCCCAATGCCACGTGGCCCTCCCCCAAGGGGGGTCGGGCCCGAGGTAGGGCTGCGGCCACTCCCTGGCCGAGACTAGAGGGAGAAGGCTGCCCTAGGCGCCACGTGGCCCTCCCCCGAGGGGGGATCGGGCCCAAGGTAGGGCGGCGGCCACTCCCTCCCAGAGATTGGACGGAGGAGGCTGCCCCCCAATACCACGTGGCCCTCTCCCGAGGAGGGTCGGGCCCGAGGTAGGGCGGCGGCCACTCCCTGGCCGAGACTAGAGAGAGAAGGCTGCCCCAGGCGCCACGTGGCCCTCCCCCGAGGGGGGATCGGGCCCGAGGTCAGGCGGCGACCGCCCCCTCCCATGACTAGGGGTTGGGCTCCCCCGACCCCCTCTCTAGGTCACCACGTACGGTGGGTTAGGTGTCCGCCTACAGGTGCCCACCTACCCGCATTTATGGCGACTCGAGCGGTCGCGCCACGCCGCATTTAATGCGGCGTCAGTGTACTCAACCGGTCTGTGACCGGTCGAATGACCGATGGGACTGGCTAGTACGCCTGTGCGCTGCTCGTGTGTCAGGCGGCGTGCAGCCTGACATGTCCCATCAAATAATGATAATGAGAGGTTCTCATCCTCTTATCCCAGCCAGAGTCGGTCCTCCCGCTCTGGTTAAAGCTAGGCTCCCGTTTTCCCGGTGTAAAGGAGCCCAGAAGTCTTCACCCATTAAATGGTGAATGACATGGGCGCCCCCCGTGTCAGGCGGCATGGTTTGGTAGGCCCTACGACCGAGGCGACGTGTATGCGGCTTCCAAGTTAAGGAACAAGACATGCATTTAATGCAAAGATTGTAATACTTCTCGAGGAAGTTAGGTTGTTGGGCCTATGTGGTAACCCCTTGAGGTATAAAAGGAGGTCCAGTCCTAGTGAGAGAAGGGGGGAGGGGGGACTTCCGAGCGAACTGGCACTTGGGTCTTGCAACCCCAAGCACTTGTGTTCTACACTCAATCAATCAAGCACAGGAGTAGGGTATTACGCTTCTTAGCGGCCCGAACCTGTATAAATCCCTTTTGTCTCATCGTCTTTGGGGGATTGAACCCCCTCAAGATCACACAGCTTTGCCCACCAAGCCCTCAAATCTCACCCGCTGCCCCCCGCCGAACTCACAAAGGGCGAGGGAGTCGAGGCGGCGTGGGTGACGATTCTAGGCGTGGTCTAGCCGACCCCCTGATTTTCGCGCCCTAGGCGCCCCCATCATCAGCGCGGTTAACGGCGGTCAAATCGCCATTTTGGCTAATGTGCCAACCTGGCCGCTCGCCGGCAACCGTCTGGATTTCCCGTCGGGCCCACAACCACGGCACGAGAAGTCGTGAGGCGCCACGTCAGACTGTCCTCGAGGGACCAATGTCCGACGTGGTGCTGGGGGCTACTGTCGGAGATATGGGCCCGGGGGTATGCAAAGTGAGGGGAAGTTACCTTCCTATCCTGCCGCGTGGCTCTACAGCCTGGCCCTACTCCCGCACCTCGCGAGTCGCAAAAGCAGCCGAGGGGCCTCGGGGTGCCATGTCGTGCCCCTCGGGCCTTCGCGCTGCCTCACCTCAAGGCTCTCGCCCAGCTGCCATGTGGCGGGGGGAGTGAGTGGGGAGAGGACCCGGGCTGAACAGCCATCAATGCGCGGCGCCCCAACTATCCCTCACCGCGTTTAATGCGGTAAGGGCAGACGTGCGGTGCCGCCTGACTGACCCACGTCAGTCGGACGTGACCAATCTGTGACCGGCCTGTTGCCGGTCACGTCCGATTGACGGGCGGCCGTGCCCCCACGTCGTTTCTGTCTCCGGCGGAGTGGAGATAGGTATGTCCTGTCCCATCGAAGCGTCATTTGGAGTTCCCTCCGTGGAGGAGGACCACCGCAAGTCTTCACCCATTTATGAGGGAATGAAAGGGCTGTCCCCCGTGTCAGGCGGGGGGCAGCACTGGGTCCCGCTCAAGGACGGACTGCTGCTTAGCTTCCGGGCGAAGGCACGGATCGTGGCCCGGTCAAGATAGAGTGGGTGCCCCTCCCATGAAAGAGTAGGTAGAGGCGGTGTATGTGGTATCCCCTTGAACTATAAAAGGAGGACCTTGCCCACCGAGAAAAGGGGACGACTCTCAGTAAACCTGAACTCTAGGAGAAGAGAAGCGGGAGCGCTCTCCGGAGTTTAGGAACCCTTCTAACACTCAGCCATAATCCCACACACAAGAGTAGGGTGTTACGCTCGATAGCGGCCCGAACTTGTATAATCTTGGGGCTCACACATGATATAGCAGCGTTCAAGGCGAATACGCGATCTCCCCAAGCGAGCCTTTTCCCTCGGCCGAACTCACAAAAAGGGGATCTCACGATCTCCCGCTAGAGAGGATTACTCCTTGACAAATATGTTTATAGCTGGCTAACAGTATGTTAGTGCACCTCCTCTTACAAGTATAACTGAACTTGATATGAATTCCTTGCTATGAGCCTAGTACAATTTTATGTCGCTGCCTTCGTCTAATATCGCTATTCACTTGTTTCATACGGAATTACGGAATAAACCTTTTTGCTTTTCCCGATGAAGTTCAGAAAATGTTACTCCCTCCATCCCATAATATAAAGGATTTTGAGTTTTTGTTTGCACTGTTTGATCACTCGTCTTATTAAAAAGTTGTGTAATTATAAAAAACGAAAAGTTGTGCTTAAAGTACTTTGGATAATAAAGCAAGTCACACAAAAAATAAATAATAATTCCAAATTTTTTTTAATAAGACGAGTGATAAAAAGTGCAAACAAAAACTTAAAATCCCTTATATTATGGGACGGAGAGAGTAAGTAGAAGCCAACGTGACGTCAGCTGGTCATCATCCTGACGACTCCGCTCGTTAGTAGGCGCGCGTGTAGCAGTAGATGGCAACGGGTGCATACCCATCAGGTTTCCTTATCCCATACCCACACCCGCAACGTCTAAATTTTCCCACTTAAATACCCACACCCATCGCGGGTACAAAATCTTCCCCATACCCACACCCGTGCGGGTAACGGGTATCCAACGGGTACCCATACCCATATAGTTGACTTGTAGCATTTATAGTTTTGTACTATAATTAGTCATATTAGAGTTGTAAACCATCAATATTTTCTCTAGCAATAATATATTAACATTAGCATACAAAGGCGAGTAAAAAAAATTATACAACCACATACATAATCAAGAAATCAAATAATAATTTCATATAACTAGAATAGAACAATGCTTAAGATGTGAAAGGAGTTTCATATTATGATTTAGTAGTCGTTGAGACTTATATTGCTTATAGTTTTAGGCTTAATCAATAGGTTTTTTCACCCACGGGTTGGTGGGTATGGGTGGGTAAAGAACGGACCCATACCCACGTACCTAATGGGTAAGAGTTTTGCCCATTAGTAGACCCATGGGTATAAGAGTTAGAACACAATTAGCTCCTAATAGAGTAAAAACCGTCGGGTCACAGGTTTTGGGTCCCCATTGCCATCTCTAGTAGCACCGTGGAGAAGTACGGCCCATTACAGGTGATGGGCCATCGAGACGAGGACTGTGCTGGGCCGTACTAAATGGATCAAGCCCATGAACAAAAGCACCGTGTGGAGTATGTAATAATGGGCCGTATAGATGACGGAAGCGGACTTCGTTTCGTTTTGTTTGGGCCGGGCTCGCGAATCGAGGACGAAACCGCGTCAGAACGAGCTACTTTGCGCTCGCGTCGGCGTCGGCTTCTGTCTCCGACGCGGCGGAGCGAGGGTCCCGGCCGTCGCGCGCCGCCGCCGCCGTCGTGGCTCCAATAGAAGCGCTGCAGCATCCGCGGCGGCCAGAGCTCGGTCCCCCACCTAGCCTGGGTTTTGCCCAGGCGGCGGCGCTTTGAGGAATGTCTCGGTCTCGCCGGCGTGCTGCGCGCATGATGTGCTCGAGGAAATGCCTGGGAGGAGGAGGAGGGACTCGGGGCGGGAGGAAGACGGCGAGGAGGGGACAGGAGCGCGGCGGGCGACGTCGCTCGCGCGGGAGCGCCATCATCGGGCGAGCCTCTCATGATCAAGGTACCATTCGTCTCTGACAACTCCACCGTGTGTTCTGAAATTTTGACTGCAAAACGCACTGCTCGCCATTGGCTCCATCCTTGACTCTGGCTGGATACTGTGCCATTGTGCCTTTCTCGGGTCATCAGTCCAAGTCATCTCACATGGTGGAGCCGGCTGGTCCATCGCTGTCGCTGTGCCGTGTGAAACATGCGCCGACCGCGACACGGCGAGCGCTCCAAATTCCTAATCCGCAGCACCCCCACCCGACGACCCCCATGGTCACGGTCAACCTCGCCCCCTGTCCATAGCCATACCAAGAAAGAGAGAAAGAAATACTCCTGCAGCTTTACAAGTGGAGTTCAATACTTCAGTTCCACAAGCTCCTTTGCACTCTACCAAATCCAGCCATGGCAGCCAAGGCCCCTCTCGTGCTGCGCCTCTGTCTCTTCCTCTGCATCTCCCTCTCCCTCTTGCTGTTATCATCTCCTCAACGGGTGACGAGCTTGAGCCTCGATGCCGATGTGGACGATCACTACTACCATTACGATGGGGACGAAGACGATGACAACTACTACCATGATGACGACGACGACGTCTTCTCCGGCAGGCCGGTACGGAGAATATACGACGGCGACGACGACGAAAACTACTACCGCAATGATGAAGTAGACTTCTCCAGCAGGCCGGCTCGGAGGCTATACGACGGCGGCGCAGTCATGCCGGAGAAGTACAACGTCCTGAACGGCAACTCCTCCAACAGCAGCTCCGGCTCGGCCTTTTGCAGGTTGCTTTCTCTCCAGATCCTGGACCTGTCAAACAACAAGCTCACCGGTAAGCTGCCTGACTGCTGGTGGAATCTGCAGAGCCTGCAGTTCATGGACCTCTCCCACAACCGCTTCTCAGGTGAAATCCCTGCAGTCAATACAAGCTACAATTGTTCTCTTGAATCGGTTCATCTTGCCGGCAACGGCTTCACCGGTGTTTTTCCATCAGCGCTAAAGGGATGCCAGACGCTGGTCACTTTAGATATTGGGAACAACAATTTCTTTGGTGGCATTCCTCCTTGGATTGGGAAAGGCCTTTCATCTTTGAAGATTCTTAGCCTTAGATCAAACAACTTCACCGGTGAAATTCCTTCTGAGTTATCACATCTTTCTCAACTCCAACTGCTAGATATGACCAACAACAGTTTGACAGGGTCGATTCCCACATCTTTTGGCAACTTAACATCCATGAAGAATCCAAAAATTGTATCCAGTGCGGGATCATTAGATGGGTCTACCTATCAGGATAGAATCGATATAATCTGGAAGGGGCAGGAGATAATTTTCCAAAAAACACTTCAATTAATGACGGGTATTGATTTGTCAGGTAACTCATTGTCTGAATGCATCCCCGATGAGTTAACAAACCTCCAAGGCCTTCGATTTCTGAACTTGTCAAGGAACAATCTATCGTGTGGGATACCTGAAAACATAGGTAGTTTGAAAAATCTTGAGTCCCTTGACCTCTCGTCAAATGAAATTTCAGGAGCCATTCCTCCAAGCCTTGCTGGTATATCTACCCTTAGCACTCTTAATCTCTCGTATAATCATCTATCAGGCAAGATACCCACCGGGAATCAACTTCAAACCTTCACTGACCCATCAATATACAGCCATAATTCAGGGCTCTGTGGCCCTCCGTTGAACATTTCATGCACAAATGCTTCAGTTGCGTCAGATGAGAGAGACTGTAGAACATGCGAGGACCAGTATTTCTACTACTGTGTAATGGCTGGAGTGGTTTTCGGTTTTTGGCTATGGTTTGGAATGCTCCTTTCCATCGGAACCTGGAGGTATGCCATTTTCGGTTTTGTTGATGGCATGCAATGTAAAGTTATGCAGAAAGTCTCCTCTGTTGATAAATTTCTTTCAAGAGGAAATACTGATCAGTATTTGTAGCTGTGTGTTTTCTTTCTGTACCATCTGAAGATGTAGCATGGTTAGTTTTGTCAGTGTTCTGTAATTGGCAGGAGTCATAGGACCCCCAACAAACTTCCTTTGTATCAAGACTAAGATGTAAGAAGTTACTGCATCCATCCAAAATTATATGGAACATGTCCATCTTATATACTACCAACAAATGCTGCTATGCTTGGATATTCATTACATCTGAAATCGAATTACTATATTCATTACATTTGGATGAATCATTTTGCTTTAGTTTTAGATGAAATACAAAATTTTAAACTACTACTCCAGCGTGCATGTGAGATCTGCCAAATAGGACCTAAATTATAGAAAATATGATTGACAGACCAAGCATAGGACAGCTCGGTTTTTGTTAATTCCAAAATTCGAAATTATCAAATCATGAATATGCTAAATTGAGACTCAAACACAGATATAACTCTATTATTTCTATTTTTTAAATAATAAATTGAGATATTAAAAGCATGGAAGAAGTATTAGTGTGGGTGTACATAGTTATTAATTACTATATTTTTTTTAAACTGTCAATAATGTAAAATTCTCACTTTCTTAGTATAAAGTACAAAGGAGAAAAAAAAAAGGCCGTGTGAATGCCCGGTTACCTTCTTGTGTTTTTGGAAGGAAAATTTTATTGTAACTTCTGTATTGATGATTACACACCTAATATTGTACAAATTATTTTCACATTTTGTCTATTGTTGAGGGCCATTTGTTTGATTTTTGTGTTAAGAACATTTGTTTTTGTACGAAATATCACTGAAAAAATGTATGTGAATGTATTTATCTACTACCAGCATAGGAGATTCTATGGTCAACAGGGTATGGCTGACGTAGGATTTCAGTGCTTGCTTACTTCACTAAAATAAACGGGAGTACCTATGTATCTTTCGAAAAAATTTTATAATCGTATCATACAGATTTTTAATCTTTGAATTAAAATCTGATAAACACAGTAAAAGGCAAAAAGCAACTAAGAAATATCATAATGGACACTAAATTACCATATCTTCAAGAAAAAGACCAAATCCAATACAAATATCAAAACTTACATGCGAAGATTCAAAAATTACACTGTAACTTACAAATTACAATGTAAGTTTCATAAATTACACTGTAACTTACAAGAAAATGCACTGTAAATTTAAGTGAGAAAATCGAGTGAGAGATAAGAAAAAATCTTTCGAGTGAGATATAGCAAAATCGAAAATAAACCTACCAAAATTTGATAATACTAAATTTTGCCATGACCAATTTTTGGTAAGGTAATAAGGTGTGGATGAAAGTGTTTGGTTTGTGCATCTTACCAAAATTTGGTAGAATATTTGAGAGTGGAAAGCTCTGGAATTACCATAAAATATCACTGAAGGGTTGAAAATGACATCAAATCAACAAGCCCTTAAGCTTCGCTGAATAATTACTTACATGCACCCGGCTCCTAAGCGTTTGAACTGTGCTAGAAGCGTTCAATAGAACCTGTTTTTTTTATAACAAAACCCTTATAGTTGTTCCCTCACCCAGATGGATGACTAGACAAATTTGATTGTCCAATCTATTAACTTATTAAAAGAATAGAAAAAGAAACCTCCATATTCGTTCTCACGGTCTAGAAATTCTCATATTAATCGGAAAAAAAGAAAAAACAGAGTCCATATAGAAATACAATTTAGAAATAGTTAAAATTCGGAATTAAAAAATAAGGAATATTGGAAAAGGAGACTAGAGCCCATATAGAAATACAATTTATAAATAACTGAAATTCAGAATTAAAAAATAAAGAATATTAGAAGAAGAGTATAGAGTCCATATAGAAATACAATTAAGAAATAGTAGAAATTTGAAATTAAAAATAAGGAACATTAGAAGTAGAGTATAGATTCCATATAGAAATACAATTAAGAAATAATAGAAATTCGGAATTAAAAATAAGGAATATTAGAAGTAGAGTATAGAGTCCATATAGGAGTGTAAAACTAACTAAAATTCGGAATAAACATAATAAAATTAGAGTAAATTGCACTGGCGGTCCTTAAACTTGTAAGCAGGTTTCATCTAGGTCCACGAATTTGCAAAGTGTGTATTGAGGTCCCTAAACTTGGTTTATTGTATCACCCCGGTCCAAAGCGTCGTTTGACCATAGTCTTGCCTACGTGGCATGACATGTAGACGACGACATGGCACATTATTATTTTTTTTCTCCCTTCTTCCTCTTTCATTTCTCTCTTCTTCGACCTCTTCGACAAGGGGGAGCTCGAGGTAGCTCTAGTGGAGGAAGAAGATAAAAGAATAGGAGGAAAAAGAAAAGGGGAGGAGAAAAAAAAACCACCATGCCATCATCCACGTAGGCAAGACCACGGTCAAACAACGCTTTGGACCGGGATGATACATTAAACCAAGTTTAGGGATCTCGATGTGCGCTTTACAAGTTCGTGGACCTAAGTGAAACCTCGTGACAAGTTTAAGAACCGCTAGTGTATTTTACTTAAAAAAGAAATATTCAAAGACGAGTCTAGAGTTTTTATAGGAATATAATTTACCAATAACTAATGTTTGATATTAAACATAATTAATAACTAACACATATATAAAATACAATATGGATATTAAACATTAGTAGTTTCGTAAAGTTAGTACAAAATTTAAAATTATGTTGTTATTTTAATATATTTGAATGATACATTGAGAAAACATATATGCTATTATATGAGAGAAAATATAATGATGTTAGCCGCGCAATCTGCGCGGGCCACCGTGCTAGTTATTTTTTATTTAAAAAGGAAGTTCCGGTTAAATATATTTTGGTTTTTATTTTTTAGAATAAATCTCCTAACATAGCCACAATGTGCTCTAAAACTAGATAGAAGCCAATAAAAGATATTCCCTCTAGTTTTTAATGTTTATGTCACGTATGTTTAATCATTTATCTTATTTAAAAATATATGTATTTATTATTTATTTTTGTTGTGATTTAATTTATTATTAAATATACTTTTAGCATGACTTATTTTTTATTTTTTTTAATAAGATAAATGATCAAATATATGTCTAATATTTAAAGGTGTTAAACACTAAAAACTGCAGAGACATTTTGAATTTTTAACAACAAATACATGTTGTTTTTATTTCCTGCATCGAGTTTTACTTATGAATTGGTAAAGATATATTGGAAAATTATTAAAAAACCATCCTAAATGTTACCTTGAGTTTGAGGAGAGAGAAAAAAAAGGTGCGAGCGACAACAACTGAGGAAGAATCTCAAAATAACCAAGGTAAATTAGAAGGGGATATTTGTAATAAATTAGTTTATATAAAAAAAATCTCAAACTCAAATGACATTTACAGAGTGATTCTTGCGATTTTCACATTGCTGTAAGAGAGATAGCTACGCAGGTGTGGAAGAAATCCTCCCATTTTGAACGATTGACCTAGCCAGAGTCCAATATGGCGGGAAGCGACGGCGACGCTCGTATGAATTCACGCGCACGTGGCTTTGGAGGTGCGACGAACCCATTTGCTGGTGTTTTAGCCACTCGTCGTATCACAACAGTTCGCCAATGAAGGCGTCGACTGCCCACAATCCCACATGGCACGCCTCGTCCTCCCTCTGCTGATCATCCTCGTGGCGGCGGCTGCTGCCATCCCTGCGCTGGCCAATGCGGCGACGCCGACGGAAGCGGAGGCGCTGCTGGCGTGGAAGGCCAGCCTGCAGGACGACGCGGCCGCGCTGTCCGGGTGGAGCCGCGCCGCGCCGGTGTGCGCGTGGCGCGGCGTGGCCTGCGACGCCTCCGCCGCCGCCGGCGCCCGCGTCGCGAAGCTGCGGCTCCAGGGGCTGGGGCTCGGCGGCGGCCTCGACGAGCTCGACTTCGCGGCGCTCCCGGCGCTGGCCGAGCTCGACCTCAACGGGAACAACTTCACCGGCGCCATCCCCGCGAGCATCACGCGGCTGCGCTCGCTGACCTCGCTCGACCTCGGCAATAATGGCTTCAGCGACTCCATCCCGCCGCAGTTCGGCGACCTCTCCGGCCTCGTCGACCTCCGCCTCTACAACAACAACCTCGTCGGCGCCATCCCGCACCAGCTAAGCCGTCTCCCCAATATTATCCATTTTGACCTGGGAGCAAACTACCTGACCGACCAGGACTTCGGCAAGTTCTCGCCGATGCCCACCGTCACGTTCATGTCGCTCTACCTCAACTCCTTCAATGGCAGCTTCCCGGAGTTCGTCCTCAGGAGCGGCAACATCACCTACCTCGACCTGTCGCAGAATACTCTGTTCGGGAAGATACCGGACACGCTGCCGGAGAAGCTCCCGAATCTGAGGTACCTCAACCTGTCCATCAATGCGTTCTCCGGCTCGATTCCGGCGTCGCTCGGGAAGTTGATGAAGCTGCAGGACCTGCGGATGGCCGGCAACAATCTCACCGGCGGCATCCCGGAGTTCCTTGGGTCGATGCCGCAATTGAGGATTCTTGAACTCGGCGACAACCAGCTCGGCGGGGCGATCCCGCCGGTTCTTGGCCGGCTCCAGATGCTGCAGCGGCTCGACATCAAGAACTCCGGCCTTGTCTCAACTCTGCCGTCGCAGCTGGGAAATCTGAAGAATCTCATTTTCTTCGAGCTGTCCTTGAACCGGCTCTCCGGTGGCTTGCCGCCGGAGTTCGCCGGGATGCGGGCAATGCGGTACTTCGGCATTTCCACGAACAACCTCACCGGTGAGATCCCGCCGGCGTTGTTCACGAGCTGGCCGGAGCTCATAGTGTTCCAAGTGCAGAACAACTCGTTGACCGGCAAAATTCCATCGGAGCTCAGCAAGGCAAGGAAACTGGAATTCCTTTACCTATTCAGCAACAACCTTAGCGGTTCCATCCCGGTAGAGCTCGGCGAGCTGGAGAACCTGGTAGAGCTAGATTTGTCGGAGAACTCGCTCACCGGACCGATCCCCAGCTCGCTCGGCAAGCTCAAGCAACTCACTAAGTTGGCGTTGTTCTTCAACAACCTCACCGGTACGATCCCACCTGAGATTGGCAACATGACAGCGTTGCAAAGCTTCGACGTGAACACCAACCGTCTGCAAGGTGAGCTCCCTGCCACCATCTCGTCCCTCAGGAACCTTCAGTACCTCTCCGTGTTCAACAACTACATGAGCGGCACCATTCCGCCGGACCTCGGCAAGGGCATAGCCTTGCAGCACGTGAGCTTCACCAACAACAGCTTCTCCGGCGAGCTGCCGCGCCACATCTGCGACGGCTTCGCGCTGGACCAACTCACGGCGAACTACAACAACTTCACCGGCACGCTGCCGTTGTGCCTGAAGAATTGCACGGCGCTATACCGGGTCCGGCTGGAAGAGAACCACTTCACCGGCGACATCTCGGAGGCCTTCGGCGTCCACCGCATCCTGCAATATTTGGACGTCTCCGGGAACAAGCTTACCGGTGAGCTGTCCTCTGACTGGGGACAGTGCACCAACCTCACCTATCTGTCTATCAATGGTAACAGCATATCCGGCAACCTTGATTCGACCTTTTGTAAATTGTCATCTCTTCAGTTTTTGGATCTATCGAATAACCGATTCAATGGTGAGCTCCCAAGTTGTTGGTGGGAGTTGCAAGCTTTACTGTTTATGGACATCTCCGGCAACGACTTTTATGGTGAATTGCCAGCAACAGAAAGCCTTGAACTTCCTCTACAATCGATGCATCTCGCTAACAATAGTTTCTCTGGAGTTTTCCCAAATATTGTTCGCAAATGTGGAGCGCTTGTTACCCTAGATATGGGGAACAACAAGTTCTTTGGCCATATTCCCTCTTGGATTGGAATTAGTCTTCCTCTCCTAAGAATTCTTATCCTTCGATCAAATAATTTCAGTGGAGAGATTCCTACAGAATTATCCCAACTTTCTGAGCTTCAACTTCTTGACTTGGCCAGCAACGTGTTAACTGGATTCATCCCAACAAGTTTTGGCAACTTATCATCCATGACACAAGCAAAAACCTTGCCAGCGACAGAATATTTTAACGCGGAAAGCAGTCCTTTTCAGCCAGAAGTACCCCAGGTTCCCAAGCCTCACCGCAGAAGAGAACCCAAAAATCAGTCCCCTCTTGATCAGTCTAGAGACAGAGTTAGCATACAATGGAAGGGACATGAAGAAACTTTTCAAAGAACAGCTATGTTAATGACAGGCATTGATTTATCAGGCAATTCACTTTACGGTGAAATCCCAAAAGAGCTAACATACCTTCGGGGCCTCCGGTTTTTGAACTTGTCATGGAACGATCTATCAGGCAGTATTCCAGAAAGAATTGGCAATTTGAATATCTTGGAGTCCCTTGACTTGTCATGGAATGAGCTTTCAGGTGTTATCCCCGCAAGCATTTCAAATCTGTCATGCCTCAGTGTGTTAAATCTCTCAAACAACCACTTATGGGGAAGCATACCCACAGGAAGACAACTTCAGACATTTGTGGATCCCTCAATTTATAGCAACAATTTGGGCCTTTGTGGCTTCCCTTTGATAATAGCCTGCCAGGCATCTAGATTGGATGAGAAAAATGAAGATCATAAAGAACTTGATATATGTTTATTTTACTCTTTAATTCTTGGCATTGTTTTCGGGTTTTGGCTTTGGTTTGGAGTTCTAATTTTACTTAAGCCATTAAGAGTTTTTGTTTTTCATTCTGTTGACCACATAGAAAGAAGCTATGCAAATTGCAGAAGATGTATGCACTAAGTATTCTTCAGATGCAAATCAGCAACCAAATAATATGCCCCTGTTGCTTTTCCTCGACAGAATTATATGTCAATGTCATGATTTTCATTTATCTTCTCTGTCTTGCATTTACAAGTTTGCTTAGCCAATGGGAAAAATAATAATATTACACAGGGATAGAAGCAAGTAGCAACGAGGAATACAAAGTTGATGAAGGACAGAACTTTTGTGATTGATAGTCTTCAGAATAATTTCAGTACATGTATCACCAGTAATAGAGTACTATCCTAAGCTTGCCCCTGGCGTTAATCTAACAATGCATCTTAGCTGTGAAATTCCAACCGTTCCCGACGGCGCAACGGGTGACCTGGAGTCGCTCCAGCGAGCCATGGCGATCTTGCCAGTAAAAGAGAGGGTAAAGGAGATTCATCGCGTGTAGAAGGACGATGGTCACCTCAATTTCGGACGAAGGAACTCGGGTGCGGGAGAATTTTCGGGATTTGGTGGAGCCGGTGAAAGCTAGGGTTTTCGCCGCGTTTGCGTCCGGCGACGGCGATGGAGGAGGCGAAGCCCTGGGCGGCTCTCGGGCGGAGGTAGACGGGGCGGAGGCGGTCTCTTTTGCCGTTGGCGGCATAGCTCGAGCGCATGGAATGGAGGTCGAGCTTGTCGTCGGCTTGGTTTGTTGGCGCGGCAAAGCTTGGGATGAAGCAGAGGCAGAGCTACTATTGCGTGGCTCGGCAAGGCGATGGAGAGCGGCCGAGCAGAGCTGCAGAGGAGACAGCGAATTTGGATCAGAATTCAGTAGAGAGAGAGAGAGAGAGAGAGAGAGAGAGAGAGAGAGAGAGCGAGAGGACCAGGCCAGGAGGAGATCACATCAAGGTGTAGTTAGTATATTTTAATTTTGAAGTTAGAGCATCTTTTTTATTTTACCCCAAAATAAATTCTAAGTGATTAGTGATAAATAAGTGATCACATCAGTGGATATGCTAGATGCAAATCAGCAACCAAGTAATATACCACTGTCAGTTTATAGGGATGTTTGTTTTGGTCATTTTTGCAACAAATAACTCCGATTCTATCTATCCAAATAAAAACTTGGTATGTTAGATGCATCTTTACTAAAAGATAAATATCAGGGTGTTTAGATCCAGTGGTGTAAAGTTTTAGCGGGTCACAACATATATACGGACACTAATTTAAAATATTAAATATAGACTAATAAAAAAACTAATTACATAATAAGCCTATAAACTGTGAAACGAATTTATTAAGCCCAATTTATCCATCATTAGCAAATATTTAATGTAGCACCACATTGTCAAATCATGGAGTAATTAGGCTTAAAAGATTCGTCTCGCAATTTACACGCATACTGTGTAATTAGTTTTTTTTTCTATATTTAATACTTCATGCATGTGCCTAAACGTTCGATGTGACAGGGTGAAAAAATTTGTCAGTGGATCTAAACAGGGCCATCATCTTTATGGAGAACATAAACATTTATCAACTCTGTGCTACCGCGTCGCCCACGCGCGGGTGGCTCAGGGGAAAACCTAGCACCGCCGCCACCGCCCCTCTCTCCTCCTCTCCCTCCCCTCACCGCCACCGAAGCGCGCCGCTAGAGAACCGAGCAGCTAGCCAGGATGGCGGCCGCCGTAAGATGGTCACGCTGGACAGGCTAGTACGGGGGAGAGGGGATCCATTCTTCTCTCTCATTCTCTCCCTTTCCAACCCAACCACGTGGATGGATTGAAGCGCGATGAAGGATGAGACTCTTCTTTGATGGCCAGCCAACAGCGAGACGTCGGCGCGGTGGCTGCACGTCGAAGGGGATTAGCTGGTGGTTCTGTTGAATCTGGCATGCACTCTTTAGCGCGGGAGAGTAGAACAAGGAGCGAAGGCCTAGCCTTCGGGCCGGCAACGGCGACGCCTACAGGCACCGTTTTCACCTTGGGACGTTGTTGCGTTTTCTATCGTTTCCCAAGAGGTTCTTCAAGTGAAAACCACATCCTGGTTCTCTAGGATGGGCGGCGGTGGTGCTTTTGGCGTCATTTTCCTCCTTGGAGCCATCGTTTAGAAGACTTATTCCTTAGGGGTATTGTGTGTTTGTTCAGTATTTAGCAGTAGGATCAGACGCAGATGCGTGGTGTGGTTATATATTTTCTTTTTTTTTACTATAGTCTCTCAGGACTATAGACTTATATTTTATTCCTTCTTTATCAATAGAAATGTCGCACTAGCGGGTTGTTTTAAAAAAAGAACAGCTACGTTCTACCATGATGTACTTGATGCCTATCTGGTTGTGGTTGTCTGATGTCTGCAGACCGCAACCTTTCTATTTTGAAGGGATTTTTTCATGCATCATATAATTTATTTTCTTTTGAAAAAAAAAGTCCATTTTACTCTCCTAAACTAATTCAATGGATATCTTAACCCCTGAACTATTTTTTCTCGTTTTATCCCCTAAACTACTAGAAATGTCGTTTTACTCCTTAATAACATTTCTTTTTTTTACTCTTTATACACGTTATATTTTAAGCTGAAATTTATTAGAGCCATAGATGATACAATTACTAAAGTTCAAAAATATTTTGAAATTTTTCATGACGTTTGCTTGAACTTTAAAATTCTGATGTTTAAATCAGTTTGAAGTGCTTTCAACCTATGTAAACAGTGAGAAAAAAAATCAAAGAAGAATGTTGAGACTTAAGTTATGGATGCATCTATATTCTACCAAAATTTCAATGCAAAATATGACTTATATAGTGAGAACTAAAGAAGATAAATAGTGTTAGGGGATGAAGTGGACTGTTTTAAATAGTTCGGGGGTGTAAAATGAGTTAAAAATAGTTTAGGAGATTAAGTACTCCCGTGAAATAGTTCAAGGGAGTAAAATGGAACTTTTTCTTTTCGTTTTTGTATCAAAGTGCAGGAGCACTGCCCGTTCATTTACAGTATCACACACATTTATCTGTCGTCCGTTCTGATTTCTCAGAATATGCTTAGTTACATTCATAGAAGAAGAAAGAGGACTGCTGGAATATATATACAGTTTATTTCTAAGGCCATTTACAATACAATAAGGTGTCATTCAGCCTCAACTAGCCAACTCAGATATTCCCCTTCACCTCAGCACTTTTGGATGGTTCACCAAGAACGGGGAGCCAAAACGTGCTACTCATTCCTCATCAAAACCACAGTTCTGGGCCCACACAATTTCGTGTGCCATGCCGTGCCCATCCGGGAAGAGAGAAGGACCGAAGGAGGAGAGCATCCACACCACCGGCCGTCGACGGCGACGGCGATGCAGCCACCGCGGGCGAGGACCGGACCGGTGACGGCGACGCAGCCACCGTGGACGAGGACCGGGCCGGCGCCGCGGACGAGAATCGGAGGGATGAAGAAGGGGGAGGGGGGAGGGGAGCTCGAGGTTGATCCGCGCCGCCGCTTGGGCCACGCCGCCGCCACCGTCGTTGGGGGTGGAGGAGAGGGTGCCGGCGACGGCGATGCAGCTAGCCACCGCGGACGAGGACCGGAAGGGATGAAGCGGGGACGGAAGCTCGAGGTCGATCCAGGCCGCCGCCACCGTTGTTGGGGATGGAGGATAGGGCGCCGCCGCTGCTCCGCTCGACCGCTGCCGGACGCTCGGCGCTGCTCCCGACCACGACCGCCGCGGCCGTGCTGCTTGCGACCACGACCGCCGCCGCCCCGCCGCTCGGCGCCTCTCGCAACTGTTGAGATTATGGGCAGCATATAATGATTTAATTTATTCCATAAATAAATCATGACATTACAGATGAAAACTAGCATGAACGCATCATTAGATCTACACATGTAAACTACGCAGAATAACATGAACAGATCAAATATGCGCAACATATTGAACACGTACCGAGGTGACGAAAAGACCGGCTGCTTGGTCGAAACTTTTCGCAGGTGTCTACGAAGGCACGAAACACGCGAGCGAAGAGGAAGGCGAGCCGTCGCGAACGAACAGGGAGCAGTCGCGCGAAGCGCTTCCCAAAAACCTTATTGCTGCCTTCTCCCGGTGCAGGACGTCAAAGGCAGAGGTTCCGGAGACCTGCTCTCCCGATCGCTGGTGCACGCCGGCGAGCGGGATGGAGTAGTCTACGAGCGACGGCGCAGTACAGAGTAGGAGGCAAACCCTAGATTGATTTTCACATATATTGCGTGAAGACGGCGGGTCGGTTTATATAGAGAAGGGTCGCTTGATCAGGGCGCCCGCACGATCTCTACTGCGCGTAACCGAACCGGATAAGTCGCGCGTAACTTATCCGGACTCCACGCCGTTTGCACGCATCGGATTTTTCGGAACGTTTCCAAAACAAAAACGAATCCGAATTTGCAGCAAAACAAAACTGCAAAAGGAGGCTGCATCTGCGCAAGGGTGAGGAGCCAATTTTTCGGACCATTCGACGCGTACGTCGTGCACGCGCGCCGCCTGCCCTGCCCTGCCAGGCGAGGCGAGCGAGCGAGCGCGTGTGTTTCCCCTCTTCTCTCCACCACACATGCTTCAAGTGGCTAGGAGGGCATCCTCCCTTTTAAGGAGGTCCCCCTCTCCTAGAATAAGCAAGGTGGTACTAAACTCCACATGCATGCCATCCCATGAGGTGGGCTTTTGTGATTTTCCAAAGAATTAATCTTCGAGTGGGCTAAGGCCCATTCATTAATTCCAACAGCAACTACGACCGCCGCCGCTCCGCTCGACGCTGCTCCCGACCACAACTGCTGCCGCCGCCGCCGCCGCCGCTTGAGACCATGACCACCGCCGCCGCGCAGCTCGTCGCCGTCGCCGGTTCGTTTCTTCTGCCGATGAGGGATGAAGAGAGGAGAGAGACGAACGGGAAGATGAAAAGGGGAGGAGAGAAAGGTGGGACCCACAATACTGTGATATGTGACCTGCACTGTGGAGTATGTGGCTAATAGGGTTCCTAGTCTACGTGGCACATGAGGATCGGCATTTTCCGTAGACGCACTGCTATTGCCCTAAGAAGTATTGAGGATCGGCATTTTCCGTAGACGCACTGCTATTGCCCTAAGAAGTATTGCTTTTCTACGAGGGAATTATATGGCGATTACATTTACAAGTTTATTATTTAGCCTATGAAAAAAATAAAAATACTCCACAGGGATAGTAACGACAAGGAATACAATGTTGGATGAACGATAGATTTTTGTGATTCAGTTTACAGAATAATTTCATTATATATTTATTATCACCAGTTATACTATCCTAAGATTGCCCTTGGAATTAACTTGACAATGCATCTTACAAATCACTAGCTGTGAACGGTTCAGAAAAGGTAGGCTTGAACGGGGACTGCTGGAAGGAGGCCAGCGGCGTGTGGCCGCGGGCGGCGGCTAAAACCGAGCAAAGAGGGGGTGCGGTGGCCGGGAGTCGCTCCGGCGAGCGAGCTACGGCGGCGATCTAGCCAGGAAAAATAGAGGCTAAAAGGGAGATTCGTCGCGTGTAGGGGATGAGGAGCGATGCGCAGGCGCTGCGGCGCGTGACTCGGCAAAGGCGACGGAGAGCAGCCGATCGATCAACAAGGCAGAGCGGGCCAGCAGCCCAGTAGGCAGCAAAGCAAGAGCAAAGGCTGCAGCCTGCAGGGGGCAGGGAATTTCGGCCGGATTGGCTCTGGGCCAGACTGGGCCAGAAAAAAGAAGAAATAAGTTCACCATCCCTCCCTCAACTTTACATCGAGTTTATGACATCCCTAATCCCTAATACCAGAAATCTTCACCCCTAAACTTTACAAAACCGTGCAATCTAGAGTCGATAACAGTATGGATCTCTGAGAGTTTCGCTGACGCGGTATCCTAGTCAGCACAAATAAAAATTAAAAAATTATGGGGCCCACATATAAGTGAGAAGAAAAAATGTGAGGTCCACATCTTTTCTTTCTTCTCTTGTCTTTTTTCTTTTCTCTCTACTGTTTTCTTCTCTTCTCTTCTCTTCACGGGAGGCCAGTGGCGGTAGATGGGGTAGAGGCGGCCGGTGAGACCGGCTGAGCTCTGCCACCGCACCTAACGACGCTCACGCGCACCACCGTCACCGTAGCCACTTCCCGCACCTGACAACCTTGGCACGACCGGCGAGGTCGAGGCATGGCGTGGGGAGGCGGGCATCGAGGACAGTGCGATGAGCATGGTCGAGGGGGAGGGGGAGGCGGCCGGCAAGCCTGGGCGGCGCCGGGATCCGAACGACGGTGTTGGCAATGAACCAGGCAGCACAGATGGAGCCAGCAGCCGCGCGCTCATCCTTCAGATCAGGCGGCGGGGTCGACAGCCGGTGAGGGGCCGCTTGATCCGCCCGCAACAGCGTGAAGTCCGGGTCGGGGGTTCCTCGACAGCGGCGCCCCCGCACCAGCACCGACAGGCCCTCAAATATGCGGCGAGTAGCCCTGTGAGGGTGCTCCGGCGATGACAGCGCTGGCGCCGAACGGGCATCGACGGTACGGGTGCGGCCGGTGGCGCCTTGGCTTGCTTCTCCAACACCGTAGCTTTCTTCTCCGAGCCCTTATCCTTCTCCTTCTTTTCCGCGCCGCTCCCTTCCCATGCTCCGGGTCACCGGAGCAGCCGCAAGTGGCGGTGTTGCGGCGATCTCATTAGGCTTCTTCGCCGCGGCGACCGGCGGTGACAACCACTCGTGTAGCGTCATGTAATGCCACGACACACTGACATGTGGGGCCCGACATATGCCACGTCAGCAAAACTAGGGGAATTTTTGGCCTATAGAGTCTTGGGATTAACTTTAAACGGTTTTGAATAGTTTAAGGATAAAGATTTCTGGTATTGGGGATTGAGGACCTGATACAAACTCGATATAAAGTCGAGGGACGTCAGGTGAACTTATTCAAAAAAAGAACTTGAAAGAACAACGTCCAATATAGGTCCCTTAAATATTATTATGTTATTGTGTAGTTTAGTGTACAATATTCTGATTTTTTTTAGTTGTGTTAAACAATACTACTTTGTAACTTTGAATACCCATGCTAGAAATCCTGCATCAGCCACCGTTTACAAGTGCATGAATTTTAGCGAATCCTAATGAATATATGTGCACGCCGAAAAGCGTACAAATTAATACATACATGCACCAAAATTACACCCGGCCATTCACCCCAAGAATCTATCTTTTTTAAATAGCAAAACTGGATCAGTGGGGGTAATGAGTAAGGCACTGACGACGAGCACCCAAAGCAACGACTGCACACCACTGGTGGCAGCGACACTAGTCCACTAGCAGTGCGCCAGTGCGAGTATGCGACTGCCGGAGACGACGGCGACGCGGGGTCGTTACGTCGTGCGGTGCCGCTGGTGGCCTGAATAAAAAAAACTCGAATATTAGAGAAGAATCTAATATCAAATAATTAGAAGGGGTGAGCCTTTAAATCCAGATCCTCTAGCCCACCACCTTGTGAAGCTAGCCAGAAAACTTCTGGGCATTTCTCGCTGGTGGCCTGAATAGTTGGCCTCCACCGCACGGGCTACGTTTTAGCCACTCCCGCTCTGCGAATTAAGCAGAAGTCAAATAGGGGATTCTGGTGATATTGTTAGGGGTTGTTTGGTTGAGTGACCCAACTAACTTGAGGTTATTATATATTTTAAGTTATTCATCTAATAGCATCACCAACAGCTTTTTTATTCTATTCCCTATCTTTAGATTCTATCCTTAGATTTAGGAAATTTTTATAGGACAAGCCTATCAGACTTTCTTCATTTATGGGCTTCAGATAGATTGGGCTGGTTGAGCCGTTGAGGAACTGTCGGAATTTTGACGGAAATTACCATACAAATACGGTTACCGATGAAACGGTCGGAAAAACATCCATCCCATTTCCGCTACCATTTCCGAAAGATATAACCGTTTCCATTTCTATCACCGTTGGTTACCGATACCGACTGAAACAGACAGTGCAAATTGGAAACGGCAGCTGAAAAGCTCGGAAATCTTCGTACCGTTTTCACCCCTAATAGTAGCATTGCGATTCTAAATATTTTTTCTTCGTGAATAGAAAAAATTCATTGTATCGTTAGATCAGGTTTGCTATAGAAAAATTCGGAACAAAACGTCTACCGCGTTGAAGCCTACTCCCTGTGAACCGATATAGGTACACGGTACACCCGATCAAAAATGGGTTGATCGTGACCATTCTATTGGATCATCGGAAGTTAATTAGAATCGTTACCAACAACGACCAAATAAAGGCTAGTTAAGTTGGTTAAGGTTCCTGTGGTGGAACACCCAGTTCAAATCTCAGATCTTTAGTGTTAAAATTTGTTCCCATATGCGCCTATGCTATAGGCATTACGTGCGGTATGTGTGCGCGCATTCCGGTGGATCACTGGATCTAGTTCTAGTGTGTAATCATCAGTAGGATAATCACACCAAAAAATATTTACGAACTAATAAATCACTCTTATAAACTTGAATAAATATGTTTACAAATAGAATTGAATAAACGTGTTCTCCTTATTTTGGCTATATTTCCTCTGCTTTTGTTTGGTCTGTTCTTTTTAATTTAAACTACACTCTTTCTTTGAGTGCTACTTTGTAATAATTGGTTGTAGCTCGTTCTGAGTAGAGACCGGAATGTTATATTCCATTATCTAAAAAAAAATAAATCACTTATATTTATATATAGTTAGCTATTGGCACCATCATATATTCATATTTGAAAGAGGGACCCGAAAAGGCATAGCCGGAGACGACGGCAATGCAGGATCACTGCGTTGGTGTTTTACTCCGCATGGCCCCCGTCGTCCACCCTTTCTTCCTCCTCCCCCTCCTCGTGGCGATCGCTTCCATCCCAGGATCAGTCAATGCCGCAGCATCGTCCCAGCAGACCGACGCGCTACTGGCATGGAAGTCGAGCCTCGCTGACCCGGTCGCGCTGTCCGGCTGGACGCGGGCTTCGCCGGTCTGCACCTGGCGCGGCGTGGGCTGCGACGCCGCCGGCGGCGGCCGCGTCACGAAGCTGCGCCTCCGGGGACTGGGACTCGGCGGCGGCCTCCACACGCTCGAGCTCGACTTCGCCGCGTTCCCGGCGCTCACCGAGCTCGACCTCAACGGGAACAGCTTCGCCGGCGACATCCCGGCCGGCATCTCGCAACTGCGCTCCCTTGCCTCGCTCGACCTCGGCGACAACGGGTTCAACGGCTCCATCCCGCCGCAGATCGGCCACCTCTCCGGCCTCGTCGACCTCTGCCTCTACAACAACAACCTCGTTGGCGCCATCCCGCACCAGCTCAGCCGACTCCCCAAGATTGCCCACTTCGACCTGGGAGCAAACTACCTGACCGACCAGGACTTCGCCAAGTTCTCGCCGATGCCCACCGTGACATTCATGTCGCTCTACGACAACTCCATCAATGGTAGCTTCCCGGACTTCATCCTCAAGAGCGGCAACATCACCTACCTCGACTTGTCGCAGAATACTCTGTTCGGGCTGATGCCGGACACACTGCCGGAGAAGCTCCCGAATCTGATGTACCTGAACTTGTCCAACAATGAATTCTCTGGCCGGATTCCGGCGTCGCTCAGGAGGTTAACGAAGCTCCAGGACCTGCTGATTGCCGCCAACAATCTCACCGGCGGCGTCCCAGAGTTCCTTGGGTCGATGTCACAGTTGAGGATTCTCGAACTTGGTGACAACCAGCTCGGCGGGGCGATCCCGCCGGTTCTTGGCCAGCTCCAGATGCTGCAGCGGCTCAAGATAAAGAACGCTGGGCTTGTTTCAACTCTGCCGCCGGAGCTGGGAAATCTTAAGAATCTCACTTTTCTAGAGATATCCGTGAACCACCTCTCCGGTGGCTTGCCCCCGGCATTCGCCGGGATGTGCGCAATGCGGGAGTTCGGACTTGAAATGAACGGGCTCACCGGTGAGATCCCTTCGGTGTTGTTCACGAGCTGGCCCGAGCTCATATCGTTCCAAGTACAGTACAACTTCTTCACTGGCAGGATTCCAAAAGAGGTCGGCATGGCGAGGAAACTGAAAATCCTTTACCTGTTCAGCAACAACCTTTGCGGATCCATCCCGGCAGAACTCGGCGATTTGGAGAATCTGGAAGAGCTGGATTTGTCAAACAACTTGCTGACCGGACCGATCCCTAGATCAATCGGCAACCTCAAGCAGCTTACGGCTTTGGCGTTGTTCTTCAACGATCTCACCGGTGTAATCCCACCTGAGATTGGCAACATGACAGCGTTGCAAAGGTTGGACGTCAACACCAACCGTCTGCAAGGCGAGCTCCCTGCCACCATCTCGTCCCTCAGGAACCTTCAGTACCTCTCCGTGTTCAACAACTACATGAGTGGCACCATCCCGCCGGACCTCGGCAAGGGCATAGCCTTGCAGCACGTGAGCTTCACCAACAACAGCTTCTCCGGTGAGCTGCCGCGCCACATCTGCGACGGCTTCGCGCTGGAGCGCTTCACGGCGAACCACAACAACTTCAGCGGCACGCTACCGCCATGTCTGAAGAACTGCACAAGCCTATACCGGGTGCGGCTGGACGGGAACCACTTCACCGGCGACATCTCAGATGCCTTCGGCATACACCCCAGCTTGGAATACTTGGACATATCCGGGAGCAAGCTCACCGGTCGGCTATCGTCTGACTGGGGACAGTGCACCAACCTCACATATCTGTCAATCAACGGTAACAGCATATCCGGCAACCTTGATTCGACCTTTTGTACATTGTCATCTCTTCAGTTTTTGGATCTATCAAATAACCGATTCAATGGTGAGCTCCCAAGGTGTTGGTGGGAGTTGCAAGCTTTGCTGTTTATGGACGTCTCTGGCAACGGCTTCTCGGGTGAATTGCCAGCATCAAGAAGCCCTGAACTTCCTCTCCAATCTCTGCATCTTGCTAACAATAGTTTCTCTGTAGTTTTCCCAGCCACCATTCGCAACTGCAGAGCACTTGTTACGCTTGATATGTGGAGCAACAAGTTCTTTGGCAAGATTCCCTCTTGGATAGGAACTAGTCTTCCTGTCCTAAGAATTCTTCTCCTCCGATCAAATAATTTCAGTGGAGAGATTCCCACAGAATTATCCCAACTTTCTCAGCTTCAACTTCTTGATTTGGCCAGCAATGGGTTAACTGGATTCATCCCAACAACTTTTGCCAACTTATCATCCATGAAACAAGCAAAAACCTTCCCCACAATAGGGACTTTTAATTGGAAAAGTGCCCCTTCAAGAGGATACGATTATCCGTTCCCTCTTGATCAGTCTAGAGACAGATTTAACATATTATGGAAGGGACATGAAGAAACTTTTCAAGGAACAGCTATGTTAATGACAGGAATTGATTTATCAAGCAATTCACTTTACGGTGAAATCCCAAAAGAGCTAACATACCTTCAGGGCCTCCGGTATCTAAACTTGTCAAGGAATGATCTTTCAGGCAGTATTCCAGAAAGAATTGGCAATTTGAATATCTTGGAATCCCTTGACTTATCATGGAATGAGCTTTCAGGTGTTATCCCTACAACCATTGCAAATATACCATGCCTCAGTGTGTTAAATCTCTCAAATAACCGCTTATGGGGAAGCATACCCACCGGAAGACAACTTCAGACATTTGTGGATCCCTCAATATATAGCAACAATTTGGGCCTTTGTGGCTTCCCTTTGAGAATAGCCTGCCGGGCATCTAGATTGGATCAGAGAATTGAAGATCATAAAGAACTTGATAAGTTCTTATTTTACTCTTTAGTTGTTGGCATTGTTTTCGGATTTTGGCTTTGGTTTGGAGCTCTAATTTTACTTAAGCCATTAAGAGATTTTGTTTTTCATTTTGTTGACCACATAGAAAGAAGCTATGCAAATTGCAGAAGATGTACGCACTAAGTACTCTTCAGATGCAAACCAGCAACCAAATAATATACCCCTGTTGCTTTTCCTTGACAGAATTATATATCATTGTCATAATTTTCATTTCTCTTCTCTGTCTTGCATTTACAAGTTTATTGCTTAGCCAATGGGAAAAATAATAATACTCCCTCCGTTCCAAAATGTTTGACGCCGTTGACTTTTTTAATCATGTTTGACCGTTCGTCTTATTTAAAAAATTTAAGTATTTTTTAATTCTTTTCCTATCATTTAATTCATTGTTAAATATACTTTTATTTATACATATAGTTTTATATATTTCATAAAAAATTTTGAATAAGACGAATGGTCAAAAATATTTAAAAAAATTAACAGCGTCAAACATTTTGAGATGGAGGGAGTATTAGACAGGGACAGAAGCAAGTAGCAACGAGGAATACAAAGTTGATGAAGGATATAACTTTTGTGATTGACAGTCTTCAGAATAATTTCAGTACATGCATCACCAGTTAAAGTAATAGAGTACTATCCTAAGCTTTGCCCCTGGAGTTAATCTATCTAACAATGCATTTATGCATCTTAACTGTGAAATTCCAACCGTTCCCTTCCCGGCGGCGGGGGAACGGGTGGGCGGGAGTCGCTCCGGCGAGCTACGGTGATGTTGCCAGGAAAAGAGAGGGTAAAGGAGACTCATCGCGTGTAGAAGATGCTGGTCACCTCAATTTCGGACGAAGGCCGGGTCTCAGGTGCGGCGAGTTCTCGCGAATTGGCGGAGGCGGTGAGGTTAGGGTTTCGCCTGGTTTGCGGATGGCGACGGCGGTGGAGGAGGCGAAGTGTTGTGCGGCTCTTGGGCGGAGGTAGAGGGGGGCGGAGGCGGTCTCTTTTGCTGTTGGTGGCGGCTTGATCAGTGATTCGGTGAAAGAGATTGCGGGGGAGGTGGATGGAGCTCGAGCTCCTCCTCGGCATGGCGCTGCGAGCGCCTGCGATCGCGGAGGGGACGATGCGATGCGTAGGCGTGGCTCGTGTAGGCGATGAAGAGCAGAATTTGGGCCGGCTCGATCGGCTGCGGGCCAGACTAGATTGGTGGCACACAGAAGGGGGAAAAGGAGAAGAGGAAGATAACGGGAGAGGGGGGGAGGGGGCGGCGGACAGGGGAGGGCTGAAAGAGCGAGGCTGCGAGAAAAAACAGGTTGGTATTGAGCCGATCAGTGGGGGCGAGATTGGTATTGGCCGATCAGTCGTGCGTCTCCCTCCTCGCACACGATTGGGCACTTGTCTCGCGCGGAGAGGGGGCGGCGGACACGCCGCGAGGGAGGAGCGAGTTTCTTCTTCTTTTTTTTTTTTTGTCTTTTCCTTTTTTATCGTTTCTGTTCGGTTGGTTTTTTTTCTTTGGTTTTTTCTTTCTATTTGGTTTTTTCTCCGGTTTTTTCGTTCGGTTTGTTTTTTTCTGGTTTCTCTTCTGTTTGGTTTTTTTCTTTTTTAATGTATAAATACAAAATTTGTATTCGTATGTATACCAAGTTTGTATTCGTACGTATAGAACTTTCTATACGCGCGTACAAACTTTTCATACGCGTATACAAACTTTCTATACACGTATACAAAGTTTGTATACACATATACAAAGTTTATATGTGCGTATACAAACTTTCTATATGTGATGTTTTTTTTTATTTTTTTATTTTTTAGTGCGTATACAAACTTTGTGTCTGTGTGAATATATTTTTATGCATTGAAATATATTCATAAAAATATATATGTGTGTTAGGGTTATGGATACCACATACCTAATAGTAGTTGACTAAATCTTGGCAGGATCCACCACATACCATATCTAATACGGAAACTGACTTCAGATATGGAGGGAGTTCTGGATAAGGAAAGACAACCAGAGTTCTACATGGAAACGACAAGGACTACTCGGATTGTATCCATACTAGTTTCCCTAGTTCTACTTGGACAAGGGGACACCTGTGGGTATAAATACAAGCCCCCCTAGGAGGACAGGGGGACACCCATGATATGAGACGATCAACACGATCAACAACCACCATGGGGGACAAGACAATCAACACCCAACGGGATTAACACCTGACAGGATCAACACCTAACACAATCAACACAGAAGCCTACATACGCCAAGACACGCCGCCGGATATCGACTTCAGGGATAAGCACGGCTAGTACCCTACGGTGTCTTCGGATACTGTCAGGAGAGACGAAAGCGCTATCTCTGTTCTCGCCGGGCACGGATTCGAGGTGGAAGGCTACCCTGTTGTCGACTACGAGTCAGATCGTTAGACCGCCATGTCGACAACAGTTAGATAGGCTACCCCAAACATTGTACTGGTGTGATTATCATGAATAAGAGCAATACCGGCTTCGGCCAACAGAATGTAGGGTTATTACCTGACCGCTCAGGGGCCCGAACCTGTATAAAAATCCTCATCTCCATCTCTTTTACCTCAGTCTCGCGTATACCCTAGCACCGACGATCCCCATACTATGCAAATACCAGAATTGCGACATCAAACGTCGACACTGGCGCGCCAGGTAGGGGGATTTTGGTGCTTCAGGATTTCGACGAGATGGGTTTAAGAGATGAACTCTCCGACAACCAGCTGAGATCCAACCTAACCAGATCGGAACCATCATCGTCATCGACAACTTGGTCTATCGAGATCATCCAAGCCTCAATATACGCGACGTACCAAAAGATGTCAGATCATATGATGTCCAACGAGTACGCAATAAGATAATTGGTAGATTGGTTTTTCAAATTGATCTACTAATTTCGTAAATACATCCGGCATGTATCTACAAAGGTACGCAATATTTTATCTGCAATTTATCGTACCTATTCAGATCATACATCATTGTCAGATCCATGATTTATTATGTTTACCTAGAGCATGTTCTTTATACAATAATATCTGTTGCGCGAGTGTCCCCGATGTTAAATCGACTACGGTCTAACGTAGGGGGCTCGCTCTATTTTCTTCTGTATAAATCATGCTTGTTTACGGTTTACATAATGCCTGACATTTACATCTGCTCATTATATCCTGATAATACTAGAAGATCCATGCAGTTTTTGAGTACATACTCGATATCCCATGCTATATATCTTGTCTTCTAGAAAATATTTTTCAGGAACAATTGAGCACTCGAGTATATTGTGGTCGAGTACACCGCATTATCGAGAACGATCTCGACAAATGCAGAGTCGTCGCGCCCAACCTACCAAAGAAGTCCGACGACCTATCTCATAGCGCTAGCCATCGCTGGACTACTCGAGAAAAGGTTGTTAACGGATAACTCCTCACGAACACCGTCGGCTTGATCACCCGACATGATTGCGAGCGGACATCCGGATATGCTATAAGTTGGGTATGTGAGTCATGCTGGCCACATGATATGCACATGTAATAAACCAACTTTAGCGCCCCTATAGGTGATTAAGAGACTCCTACTCCTGGTTCTCGAACCAGCAAAATGTAGTGATCTCTCTCGCCTCACTTTAAGTGGTCGAGTTACGACTACTGCCTGGTCCTCGACTAGCGATGTAGCGTTTCTCCCACTACTTCTACTTTCAGTGGTCGAGTTACGACTACTGCCTGGTCCTCAACCATCGATGTAGCGTTTCTCCCACTACTTCTACTTTCAGTGGTCGAGTTACGACTACTGTCTGGTCCTCGACCAGCGACGTTTGTTTCTCCCACTACCCCTGCTTCAACAAAGTTGATACCAGGTGCACAAGATCGCCAAGGGTTTTACCCAGAGATCCCTTACCCAGATGACACCTAACGTTGAAACCTATCCTAATGTCCCTTTACGCCGTCTTGACAAGGCCTCCGATGAACCTGAGGGAACTTCGGCTAGGGACGCCTAGAGCCGATAAGGCCTTGTTGGATCCTTCAGAGACGAAAGACCATGTAAGACCTGGTCGTGTAAGAGTTCTCGCCGTGCGTATTAACCAAGCCGTGTAATTGGAAATTGAGTTTTCCAACTTCATGGCTGGGGACTAGGATCAGTGCTTGTTCAACCGAGGCAGGTCAAAGGTCCAAGAGCCTTGACATCCGAGAACGATTCTCCGACGACAAGGCTGGGGGCTAAGGAGAGTGTATGACTCTACAAACTGACTGATCGGAGTCGGTAAGAGAGAAGACGCTCATATACAAAACACTAGTCTGTACATTCAATTCACTAGTCTGTCATATTATAACATGTCACCCTTTGAGAATTCGCTCGGGGGCTATTTCTATCTAATATTCTTTTCTGAGTATTGATTTTAGGAAAATTCTATTCGACATTATCGAGGACTCCATGTCTCTATGGTTCTAAACCAAGATTGACTAAGGCGAGTGCGACAAATGTCGACAAAGTTCTATCGCAGACTCTACGCCTTCTCGATCGCTCGAGAACGGTTGCTAGATCTCGACAAGGAATACGGAATGAAGAAATGGTGTACCCGCCGAGATAAAATTTCTTGACTTCAATCCAAATTCTCGATTACAGCAAGACGTGAGACTTAGTCGTACGCTCTATATTTTCTCGGTCGACATCAAAGATTGACTTAGACAAACCCTTTCGGTGCCCGCACGAGGCTGACAAAGGAAGTCCAACGTGACGAAGCGTGGGGCTCCTCACCGGGAGACCGCGCGGGCCCCCCTTTGCCGGTTCGGCCGGGGGCGCTGGGTGAGGTTCTAAGCCCTTGATCTGTGGAATGGTTCGCGAGAGAGCAAATGCGCAAGACACGGGCGATGTAGACAGGTTCGGGCCGCTGAGAAGCGTAATACCCTACTCCTGTGTTCTGGTGGATCTGTGTATGAAGGAGTTACAAAGAGCTGGAGAGCAAGAGAGTTCAAACTCTAGAGACCCTCTCACTCCTCTTTTCTCCAGTCCCCCTCTTGGTAGGCATGGTCCTCCTTTTATATCTCAAGGGGATACCACATACACCATTTCTACCTACCCTTCTTTTGGGTGGGGACCCATCCTACTTTGACCAAAACTTGGCTCGTACCTTCGCCTGACACCGGGATAACCCTGTCCTCCCTCATTAATGGGCGGAGATTTGCAATGGCTGCTGTCCGAATGACCCTCCGATGGGATGGGTCATACCAACCTCCACTCCGCCGGAAGCAGGTGCAACGTGGAAGCACGGTTGTTTGCTGATGACGTGACCGGCGTCAGACCAGTCACAAACCGGTCATTCTTGTCTACCACGTGTCAGTTTAGCATGCCACACGTCAGCCCTTCTTCATAAAATGACTTCCTTG